CATTTTCATTTCTAGTGGAGAGAATTGTCTATTGGTGCATTAATTATTTTCATTAAATGTATTCCACCAAATTGTCACTTCTTAGATGATCAAGGAAGTTACTTATTGCCTTTTAGGTACCAAACGAGTGAAGTCATGTGCGTGTCAGGTCAAAACAAATTTTTCTGAAAAATTCCATGATTTAAGGGATTTGCTCATCCTTTTTTGACAAAGCATTTCTTTTTGTTCCTTTCATTATTTATGAGTACTAAATAAATTATTTTACTTCGATCTATTGAGGAAACATGTGAAAAAAGATTGATTTAGTTATCAGATATCATAAATGATATTGATCCAAAATATGTCTTACAAATGGAGTGTTTCATGTGTTAGACTTAATATCAATATAACTAATCATCTTAATAGACCGTCTTATATCAATTCGTCTTATTTATTGATCTAAAAACTTCTCTCTAGAAAAAAAAATTATGTTTGTTATCATTAAAATTTAAAAATTAAGGAGTTTAAATTTTTTTTGACCGAGAATATCTTTAAATCCATGGAACTATATAAAATTAACACTTTGTTTAATTTATAAAAGAAAGTGAGAAGAAGAAAAAAAATAATGGAAAGTGATATGATCATTTAATTGCTTGATAAGTGAAAAAAATATATAATGACATAAATATCTCTAAGTAAAAAATATAATAAAGGGAAAAAAAATAAATATTGCATCAAAAACTAACATAAATTTAAAACATCTATTTTACCTATTAAATATAATAAAAAAAATAAATATGTGAAAAACAAAATTATTTTTATTTATTTATAGTGAATTTCTATACTAGCTACTATACTATATAATAAAAAAGAAACAAAAAAAAAATTAAGGGGAAATATAAAAAAAAAATAAAAGCTTAAGGTAAATTCAAATCATTTATTTTTCTTTGAAAAAAGTAATTTTTATAAAATAATATTTTTTAATAGATAGAATAATAATTTTATCGATTTTAAAATTCTTTGTTATTGTCTTTCTCAAATTATAGATAGAGAACTTTAATGTTAGATCTACCACATTTTTCTTTCCTCTCTTGTGTGTTTGGCATGAATAAAATAAACAGATGGGTGAAAAGGATAATGATAATAAATACACACCTTATTCTCTTGCAAATCACTTCTTCTCCATTTTATCCTCCTATTTTTATATTTATCATCACATTACATATCGTATTCATCAACTTTTAACTCAACTTTTCTCCTTTCTTTAACTCTCTCCTCCCTCCACCCCAATGTACTCAAAATGGGGTGAGCATGTGACATTATTTGGGTAAAAATAAGAATACGAGAAATATAGGGAAAAAAAAAAGAGAAATAAAGTAAATTTAGAAATATAAAAGAAATATGGAATAGACAAATAAAAATTAGCATGATAATTGAAACAATCAATTTTTTTCATCGAAAATATATCATACTTTTTTTCCACAAAATAATGAAAATTACTAGAAAATATTAATATCTTTTTTTCCAATTTTTTACCAGCACAAAATGTTAAAAACATAGGCTATTAATGTCCATATTTGCAGTGTTATGAAAAGGAATGAGACACATTTTTTTTTTTTTTTTATCATTTCTCACCATTTCTTCTACCATCTGAATTTTTTGCCATGCATATGACTCTGTTCTTTTCCTGCTGCATTCACTGTTCTCTCGAGAGGATTGCTTTTGTTGATTGCTTATTCAGCTTGACACGCATATGATGGCATTGGAATCATTCAGGAACGAGACAAGTTCATTTTGTTGGGCGCTATGTTTTGCCAAATTAAGATCACGTTTTTATCTTCTCTGCCTAAAGAGGATGCATGTTTTATAGTTTTTATATTTGTTGAAGGGAACAAACAATTAATGCCTTAGTGGGACTCGCATTGTAATGCTCCTGTAGTCCTGTTCTTCCTTGAACAACTACTTTTGTTCCTCATTGTTTTGGGCCTTTTCACACTTTTTTTCTTTAAGTTAATCATTTATACTCTGTAAATTTTTTTATACTAGTAACTAATTATATCTTTTTGTGTCATGTCACTGTTAAAAGTAAATATGTTTATAATGACATAACACAATTAAAAGATATAATTAGTTATCAGTGTAAAAAAACTTTACACTGGCAGTGTATAAGTGATTAACTCTTTTTCTTTTTCCCTTTTTTGGATAGGGACTTGGTATGCTTCTGCTCGGTGTGTTAGGGCTATATTGGTAGGTTTTCCCAATTATTGTAAGGTCTTTGGCTCGAATTTTATAAATTAAAAAATTTTAATATATTTATTGGTCTTTGAATTTTTAATTTTTTTAATAAGGTATTTTAATTTTAAAAATTATAATCAAATCCTTAACTTTTTATTTGTTTAGCCGAGTTTTTTTAGTTAATTTGTGGTGGTTCCAAACTGTTAACTGTTTTATTAACTCTAGAGACCTAATTACAAACATTATAAATATCAAGGATTCAATTACAATTTTTTTTTTAGTTTAGGAACTTCATTAAAATTTTTCAAAAATTCCATGAATAAAATAATATATTAAACCTTGAAAAAAATATGATTGAAAAGAGAGATTTTACTTAAGATGACGAGTTGAGTCTAATGATAATAAATAATATTTTTTTAGTAAATCAAGGTATTTCTTAGTTGAGAGTTAAAGACTAATCTCTTGAGTTACTAAGATTCATTTAATAGGCTGATCTCTCTCAACATATATTTTTTCATGTATATTGACCAAGTATCAAACCTTGGAGACCACATACTTGATAGATGTTCCTACTGTAAGTCCACGGTCATCGTTAAGGTCACCGCATCCGAGGTATTGTCCACTTTAGCCTCGTTGGACCGTCACGGTTTTGTCCTTTAAAAGGTACCTCGGTGGGTTAAGGAGGGAGGGTGTTTATAAACTACCCTTAGCCTCGACTCCTAAGCGATGTGAGACTTTTAGGCATACCGGAACAAGCCCCCAGTCGATACTAAGGGGCAAGAGTGGGACTTTTAGGCATACCGGAACAAGCCCCCCAATCAATGCTAAGGGGCAAGAGTGGCATAGACCCTCCTTCTAGCGCCAAATGTTCTTACCATAAGTCCGCTGTCATCATTAGGGTCACCGCATCCAAGGTATTGTCCGCTTTGGCACTCGTTGGGCCGTCACGGTTTTGTCCTTTAAAAGGCGCCTTGGTGGGTTAAGGAGGAAGGGTGTTTATAAACTACCCTTAGCCTCGACTCCTAAGCGATGTGGAACTTTTAGGCATACTAGAACAAGCCCCCCAGTCGATGCTAAGGGGCAAGAGTGGGACTTTTAGACATCCGGAACAAGCCCCCCAATCGATGCTAAGGGGCAAGAGTGGCCTAGGCCTTCCTTCTAGTGCCAAATGTTCTTACCGTAAGTTCGCTGTCATCGTTAGGGTCACCGCATCCGAGGTATTGTCCACTATGGCACTCGTTGGGCCGTCACGGTTTTGTCCTTTAAAAGGTGCCTTAGTGGGTTAAGGAGGAAGGGTGTTTATAAACTACTCTTAGCCTCGACTCCTAAGCGATGTGAGACTTTTAGGCATACTAGAACAAGCCCCCCAGTCGATGCTAAGGGGCAAGAGTGGCCTGGACCCTCCTTCTAGCACCAAATGTTCCTACCATAAGTCCACGGTCATCGTTAGAGTCACCGCATCCGAGGTATTGTCCGCTTTGGCCTCGTCGGACTGTCACGGTTTTATCCTTTAAAAGGCGCCTCGGTGGGTTAAGGAGGGAGGATGTTTATAAACTACCCTTAGCCTCGACTCCTAAGCGATGTGGGACTTTTAGGCATACCGGAACAAGCCCCCAATCGATGCTAAGGGGCAAGAGTGGGACTTTTAAACATCCGGAACAAGCCCCCCAATCGATGCTAAGGGGCAAGAGTGGCCTAAGCCTTCCTTCTAGCGCCAAATGTTCTTACTGTAAGTTCGCTGTCATCGTTAGGATCACCGCACCCGAGGTATTGTCCACTTTGGCACTCGTTGGGCCGTCATGATTTTGTCCTTTAAAAGGCGCCTCAGTGGGTTAAGGAGGAAGGGTGTTTATAAACTACTCTTAACATCGACTCCTAAACGATGTGAGACTTTTAGGCATACTAGAACAAGCCTCCCAGTCGATGCTAAGGGGCAAGAGTGGCCTGGACCCTCCTTCTAGCACCAAATGTTCCTACCATAAGTCCACGGTCATCGTTAGGGTCACCGCATCTGAAGTATTTTCCGCTTTGGCCTCGTTGGACCGTCACAGTTTTATCTTTTAAAAGGCGCCTCGGTGGGTTAAGGAGGGAAGGTATTTATAAACTACTCTTAGCCTCGACTCCTAAGCGATGTGGGACTTTTAGACATACCGGAACAATAGATAAAATTATCTACTAACCATATTGTCACACCTTGTATTATTTGAAGGATTACTTTGTATCACTATAAAAAAATGTTACATACGATGACATAAAAATATCACTATAGATATAATATATGTAGTATAAATGTATTTGACAAATGAATATACACAATTTTAATGTTAATTTTAAATAAAATTCAACAACATATATTATACATTTCTATAGTCTATATCTATATATTTTTGTTTACAATATATCAATATATATTATATTTATAATAAAAATACAAATAATTTTTTAGGATAAATATTATATCACCATAAAGTATATCATTACATCATAATTTTTTTTATAGTGTATATAGTGAGAACATTTTGTGCTATTATTAAGTCAATCAGAAAAACATTTGGCTTAAAACGTTTGAAACACAATTCTAACAAAGTGCCTTTCGAATGGCACATGGTTTTATATGAATTAAGGCGACTACTGAAAGACAAATACAATTAAAGGAATGTTTGGGTTAACTTTTCCAATAACATTTTTAGAAGAAAAAAATGAAAAGGAAAAATAAAACAAGATTTATTATAAATTAAAATTAATGTATGCACAAGCAAATTTGTAAATTTTTTTTTTAAGAGAAGTTACATAAGAAAACTACTTCAAGTTTATCCATATAAGTCTAACTCGACAAAGGAGCATACATAAGCATTGAGTCATTGACAACGAAGAAGAAACACCCAAAAGAAACTTTTAACATGTTGGGCTGTTATCTGGAGTAACATATATATCTGTGAACAACATCTTAGCAAGAGCAATGCTCTACCCAAAAGCAAACAGTAGGCCCAATGGCATTATGGTAACCCAGGCCCACTTCCTCCCACGCATTTATTTCTTATAAAGTTTGACCCTTTTATTTTGATCCACAGTGGTGCATTATTATAATGTATATATGATAAGTATGATGCAGAAAAGGCAAGGTTATAGATGTATCTAATTGGCATTAAGGTAGCGACAATCCTTTCTGATTTCTCCTTGATCTCCGCTAATAGGATTGGTCTCCGACAACAAGAGAATGGCCCTTGAGAACTGTTGGTGAAAATATTCGTTGTCGTTGGCCATCTTTTGGACATAGGGTGCGGTTCTTGGGTCAGTGGCCAATTGTTCATCCACAGAGAGAAGACCCTTGTGCTGCAAAATGTTCTTGTAGTAGTTGTTGTCAATGATCATGGGCGTTTTCAGATCGTTCCTCGAATACATCACAGCCTTTGGATCAGGATTCGGTGTTGGACACCGGCGCTTCAGGTACTCTGCGTGTGTAGGGTCTAGAGTCTTGTCCACTGTGGGGTACAGTCTCTTAACTAGATTCACGCAGTGAACTCTTCCCACTGAGTGAGCTCCTGAATCAACCAACACATCAAATATATGATTATATTCTATAAGTCTCATGCAAAACTTTCTAACATTTTTGTTTTTTCTCGTTGGCCCATTTTTTTTTTAATAGATAATATAGGTTTGCGCCTAAAAGGTTAGGCATCTTTGCATATTGCTTATTATTAAAAGGAGGTTAGATTTATGTTTTGACTTTTAAAAAATGTTAATTAAAGTTGGAATAATGGGTGTGAATTTATGTGAAACAATGTGATGTTTTGTACCTAAAAGAGCGACTGTGGCTTCAACGTCAATGGCAATGGCTTGAAAACGAGACAGCACTAAGGATATGGAATCATTGTGATTTGGAATGGAGTCCTCCACCTCCGTTACATAGCTTTCTTTGCTGTCCCTTCTCCCTGTCTTCATTTCAATGCTTGGTCCTCCCAACTGCACGCACGCACGCACGCATCAACATTAAATTAATCATATCCTTCATCTCTAATTATAACACCCTTTCCACTAAAATTAATTAATTTAGTTTAAATTAATTTTTTGTCTTTTCATTTAGTCATTAATTAATATTAGGAAGTATTTGTTTGACACTGACCAAGGCAATGCCATCTCTAGCAGAAAGAGCAACAATGTCAGCGCATGACACTGTCGAGGGACATTCTTGTTCAACCGCGGCTTTGATGGTGTTTACGTATTTGAAGTTTCTCATCCCAAAACTTCGAGACGACGTTTTCTCCGACACTACTCCATTCGGCACCGTCTCTAAAAGTAGTGATGCGTCGCATGACTGCAACATAATTCAATTAATTAATTGCTTGATACATTATTGTTCATTAACTATATATATATATATATATATGTGTCTTGATATATATACCTTGACCATGCAATCATGGAAGAGATTTCTAACCCACGACACAGCAGTGTTTCCATGCTTGTTATATAGTTGCGTGACTTGTTGCTTGATGATGTCTTCTGCTTTGGGGCAGCTTTTCGAGTAGTAATTCACCTCAAGTTCGCTTTTGCCTATAGAACAACAATTAGTACAACTTCTAGCTACATCATTATTACAATTAATAAAAATGCATGCGAACCATATTATTGAGTACGTAGTCTCTTAATAATGATAATTTCCTACAAACTCGATCATGATGCATATTATATGACATGTAAATTGTCGTGACCGGTGTTTAATTATAAATGATAATTAGTTAGATAGAAAGAAGAAAGAGTAATTAAGTAGAATATAAGATACCCAAATGAAAGTGTAGGAGAAGGAAGAGAAGGAGGAAAGAGATGTTGGAAGAAGGGTTGGTGGGCATGGCCATGTATAAGTTGAAAATTGTCTCTTTGTGATGTGGGAAAGGGATTTTGGAAGGGTTATATAGAGGTGTGGTTTGAGTGGAAGCATGTTGGAAGAGTAGAATAAAAGGGTCCAGTGCAATGCATTCTCCACTATACGCAACTTTCTTTGACCACGCTCATGGCCACACTCAAACGCCACACTGCAACTACCTTATATTATGGATAGGCTAAATTAATGTTTTGCTTCATTTAATTGTTTGATTCGGCTTTATAATTTTTTTAAATTATTTAATAGTCATGTTTTTTCGTCTATTCAAGACAAATGGGGGATAAATAACTTTACTGTTTGCATGTGTGACACAATAAAAGAAATTTGTTACTACTCATCTTCTATTAATATTTTAATTAATGATCATATGTTGATAGTTAATAGAATAGACACCATTGTATCATTTTTTAAAAATATTAAGAGATTATTAATTTAATTTTTAATAATTAAAAATCAGAAATTAATTACATATATAATCATTTTCATATAAAATATGGAATCATGTTATTAAATAATCATATTCATATACATGGTTGGTTATCTACAAAGAAAATGACCAAAAAAATCGAGGTTACAAATGAGAGTAACTTTGATCTTTCAAAAATATAATTTTAGATTAGAATCTTGTGAGTAAATAAAAAATGTAGTTAAGAAAAGAGATTTTACTAAAAATGTTTAGTCAAGAGTCTCCAATAATTATCATCAAAATTAATATTTTATATTAATAACATTATTAAAAAAAATAATAAAATAAGCCAAAGATTTTAAGAGATCATAAAAAGAAAAAATATTATTTAAAACACATTATTTATCTTTAAATTGAAAATAAACATGAAAATAAAAAATGAATGAAGGTGGTACCCACGTTATCACGTACATACATCATTCAAAGTTGGAAAAAAATAAGTAGCGATCTCCAAATTTTATATATGCAATATTTCTATTTATACATAATACAATAATTATAGGTTGGTTAATTAGTTGGCAACGATGATATGCATTATTATGTCATAGAAAATATATATATTAATATTCCTATTTTTGTTGCAGACAGCGTAAAGGTGCATATTTTAGAAGTAGTTGGTTTTAACATTTTTGAAAAATCAGTTCTAGTCGTTTATCGGTTTTAGTAAGTATCTTGGAGTGATTTTTGTTTATAATACCGAAGGGTTACCAATGGAGAGGGTATAGTGTGATAGTATGAGATATACACACATGGAGTACATCATGAATAATAACACTTGATAGTATGATAATTGTTGATTATAATTAACATCAAAGAAAATAAAAATAACTCATTATTTATAATTAAAATTAGAGTTAGTATTGATTAATTTGAATTGATGTGAATGACTAGAAATTCACATGTTTAAATCTTAATTCTTCCAAGTACAAAAAAAAAAATTAAATTGAGAGAAGATGTCCACTTATTTAATGTTTAATTGTTAAATCTCTAAGAGAGATTGTCTTTTGTGTTTAATAAAAAATACTTTTTGATAATAAATGAAAAATATCATTAAAAAAGAGTAACTTATATTGTAATAATGTATATTAATATTAAAAAATACCTTATATCGCAATTAATTTAATTATTATAAAAGAGATAATTTGTATCATAATTAAATCAATGTCCGCTAAAAGATTTTAACGTTTATTTTGTTCAATAACAGGTATCCTTTTTAATTAGTTTTTAAATTGAAATCAATCAAACATCAATAAAATTACCATTTTAATAATAATTAAATTAATTATGATATAAATTACTGATAATTCTTATAATAATTAATTTAATTATAATTAAAAAAGCTTATATCATAATCATTTGCATTAATATTATTATTTTCACTATATTGTGGAATATTTTTCTCAAAACAAATTTCTAGAAAGACGGATATTTTAAAAAAATAATAATTTAGGGGGTGCGAATAAGAATCTCCTAAAAAAAGAGAGAATTTATTATGAGAGATGAGAAGGTTAAAATATAACCCTTAAATTAATTAAGTGAGAAAAAATTTAAGATTTAATCAAGTGAGAGAAAATTAATCTAAGAATTATATTTTAACCCTCTCATCCCTCATAATAAATTTTCTTTCACTTGATATGCTCCATTCCTACAAAATATTAGGTTGTATAACTTAAACATTGGGAAGGGGTTGGGTGGGCGATGCCTAACCACAAAAGCATAACTAATTATTAATTTACTTCTTGAGTGGATAAAGCTAAAATATATAGAATATTATTTTGATTCGCTTTGAATAGTTTAGAAGAATAAAATAAAATAATTTTGACTTTGGGATCGATTTGGAGCAATAAAACATAAAGAATAAACTTAAAGTTGAAGCATGAGAATAATTTAACAAAAACTAGGAGTCGGATTTGAAAATTTTCCAATCAAGTGCTTTGCCTTACCAGACTACCATTTTTTTATTTTTGAAAAAAAAATCCAACAATAATAAGTTAAAAGAGACAATGTTGGCCATATTTTAAGGTATTTGTCACTATGATTTTTTTTTCTTCAAAATCATAATATGGATATAAGATGTTTGTTATTAAAAATCATAACTAATTTTTATCGGAGATTGTAAACATATACAAAAGATATATTCTCTTTTACATTTTATTTATTTCATACTCAAAATTAATATTTGAATCTTGAATAATTTGATTAAAAAATATAAATTATTATAACTTGTGAGAATTAATGTTTATTTAAAGAATTAAATAAAAAATAGAAAGAGTTGGTGTAACTCATAAGTAAAAGATGTGAGGGAGATATAATAGCCTCTTAAATTGGAATACCATGTCATTCCTCATTGTTATTAGTGGTATTAATTATATCCACGCTGAAACTCATACTTACCAATTACAAAACACCTGGTTCTAATTAAACCATCTAAGAGGAAGGACCAATCACACTTTTCCGGCGTCTTTGTGGGATCATATGTCTTCATTTTAAAACAACAAATGTTGTTTGTGGTTGGAACTTTGAAATTAGCATGCAGTATTATTTTAGAGTAATGATACTCTTACGTGAGTTTTTTTTTTTTTTATATATATAAAAGATAGAAATAAGATTATTGATATTATGGAAAGAGATAAAAAGAATAAATGAATTGTAGAAAAAGTTTTAAAATTAAATTTATTTAGTGTATCATTCATTATTTAATGTTTTTAAGAAGCTGTTTTAGGTGTTTGTTTGTTTGCAGGAATAGATTAAAAGAAGACATTGCTATCTATCTAGCTAGCTTAGTCAACATAATCCATAGCGTTTTAGTTTTCTTTGGCATAATGATTTCATAAACTAATTGTATGATCGATGTGTTAGACTGTCACAATCTCATTTCTGAATAATTAATGTATTAAGAGTGTAATATAGTATACGTCAAGCCCTATAATATACGTCTCAATTATTTAAGCAGTAATGATAACCTTTTTAATATCATCGGGTCCTCCTCGTGTCAATCATCTTTGTTGCTTCTAATATTTTCACTCATCTTAAAACGTGGGTCAAATGTAAGTCAATATTAAAATTTTAACCTAACTTATGGGATAAAATTTATTTTCATTTATATATATACAGGTCAATTTAGTAGTTTGGAACGGCCCGTTCTAGATTAGGAACGGCCCGTTCTAGGCTACTAAATCATCTATATTAGACTTTTGGGCCTTCTAAAATAACTTACCTTCATCAGATTTTAAGTTTGAGCCTCTCTATAAGTGAGAATAATTTTAATTTTACGTGAGAATAATTCTCACCTTAAAAGTTAAATTTTTAATTTTTAATATATATATATATATATATATTTATTGAAAATTAAAAATTTAACTTTTAAGGTGAGAATTATTCTCACGTAAAATTAAAATTATTCTCACTTATAGAGAGGCTCAAACTTAAAATCTGATGAAGGTAAGTTATTTTAGAAGGCCCAAAAGTCTAATATAGATGATTTAGTAGCCTAGAACGGGCCGTTCCTAATCTAGAACGGGCCGTTCCAAACTACTAAATTGACCTGTAAATCGTAGTTGAGAACGGGCCGTTCTGGATGGAGTATGGGTCATTCTGGATGAGTCCCATAACGGGCTGTTTGGTTTCAGAACGGGTCGTTCTGCATGTGAATTTTACACATGATGAAGGAACCCAGAACGGGCCGTTCCGGATTCGAAACGGGCCGTTCTGGCCACTTCAGATTTTCTATAAATAGGACCTGTGGGTAGTTGATGAGAAAGGGAGGTTTTAGAGAGAAGTTCTAGAGAGAAGGACTCTAGACTAAAAAGCTTGTTTTTGGAGGATTGAAGTTCAAGAGTCAAGCTTTGGAGGATATTTCTTCTTCCTCTCAGATTCTTGGCTTTTAGAGCCAATTTTCAGGTAAGGGAAGCTAGATTGTAAATTTATTGGTTGTATATGAGTTGTGTTACAAGGTGAAAATGTTGTGTTGTTAATATATGATTAAATATTATTTTAATGATGTCGTTGGTGATGCTTTCATGATGGAGATGGGATGTAAATGAGATGCATGTTGTAGTAAAGTTGTGAAGTACATGATGATAATATTGTGAGTTGTGAGAAGTATGACGTGAAGTGTGTAAATGTGTTGAGATTTATATAGATGTTATTAGTAGACTGTGTTGTTAAGTTGTTAGAGGAGAGTTGTATGTTGCTATAAAGTTGTATGTTGTGCCATGTGTTGAAAAGATATTACCTTATGATGATTGAGTTGTAAATTATGAGTTGAGATAATAAGCTGTTGAGTTGATTGTGTTGTTTAAAGTTGAAATGAGATGTTGTGTTGTTAAAATGTGTTGTTAAACAATGTTGATGAGTTGTTTTGCTGATGTACCGTGTTGTTTAAGTTGAAAGTTGATTGAGATGATGAGTTGAAAGTTGTGTATTGTTTAAGCTGAAAGTTGATTGAGATGATGAGTTGTAAGATGATTTAGTTGTCATGATAAGTTGTTGATCACTAGGACTAGAGGAGATGTTTTCGAAGTTGTTCATCCCATTGTGCGGATTGAGATAGTTGTGGTGCTCTAAGAGCCCAATTTG